CAAACCAAACACATGCTCAGAGTTGAAGGCATGGTGGAACACACCTCTAACTCCAGCCCTTGGGAGGTGGGGAGGAGGACCCCAAGGAGCCTCGCACACACTCACATACACAGTCAGTTAGAGATGCCAGGATTCACGGTAGCCTGCCTGAAAAACAAACAGCTGAAAGTCAAGATAGAAACCTGATAAGGTTTCTATAACATGAAATACAGTTTCCTATTTCCTTTGAAGTTCCTTTTCATAGAAAATCTTTCACAAAGGTATAATTTTGGCTTTTAGTTAAATTAATGAGTATACAAAGGATTTTAGATTTTTGTAGTTGTTAGAAAATGGTAAAAAAAAATTAAATTTAAAAATAAATTTAAAAGTTAAAAAAATTTTTTTAAAAACTTAAAAAAAGAAAATGGTTGATAAACATGTATTCTGGGTCGGATTTCCTGTCAACTTTTTTATTTTCTGTGTATGTGTGGATGCATGTGTGCCACAACATGCTTTTTATTTTCTGTGTATGTGTGGATGCATGTGTGCCACAACATGCTTTTTATTTTCTGTGTATGTGTGGATGCATGTGTGCCACAACATGCTTGTGGAGGTCAGTGAACACAAGCAAGAGTCAGTTCCCTTCTTCTACCATGTGGCCTCCAGGCATCAAATCCAGGGCATCAGGTCTTTAACCACTGACCCAGCTCACTGGCCTCTGGGTCAGATTTTCTTCAGCTGGGTCCCCAGGTTCTCCCCTTCTCCACCCCTATGCAAATGTTCTCAGAGGCCAGAAAAGGGCATCGATCCCTGAGAACTACAGGTGGTTGTGAGCTGCTAGATACAGGCGCTGAGAGCCAAACCTGGGTCCTGGAATCTCAGCGAGGTCCTTCGGAAAGTGTGTTCTTAGCTTCAAGCCAACTTCAGCTGTACTCCCTTCCCCCCTTTGGAGACAGTTTCACTGCGTAGTCCTGGCTGGCCTGAAACTCGGAGATCTGCCAGCTTCTGCCTTCTGGTGCTAGGATGAAAGAAAGGCCTGTGCCACCACCTCCTGCCACAATCATGTTTTCTTGAAGACTTCAAACAAACAAACCCAGAAAACCTTATTGTAGTAAAGTATGCATAACATAAAGAGAACCATTTAAATAATTTTCAGTAGTAGCATTAAGCATATTGTTGTTTACAACTTTTTTTTCTCTCTCTCTTTCTCTTTTTCAAGACAGGGTTTCTCTGTATAGCCATTGTTGTCCTGGAACTTGCTCTGTAGACTAGGCTGACTTTAAACTCAGAGATTTGCCTTCCTCTGCCTCCTAGGTGCTAGGATTTAAGGCATGCACTACCACCACCTGGCTTCCCCCCACCCTTTTTTTTTTGAGACAAGGTCTCTTGACATAGCTCTGGTTGTCCTAGAATTCACTATGTAGACCAGGCTGGCCATAAACTCACAGAGATCCACCTGCCTTTGCTTCCCAAGTGCTGAGATGACAGGTGTGCACCACCATGCCTGACTCAAAATATTTTCTTGATTTGAGGATTTGTATATCAGATTAAGAATCATTATCCCAGGGGCTGAAGAGATTGTTGTGGGATATTTGTACTTTGTGTGAAGATCTATTTGCTGTGATTGGTGTAACAAAATGCTGAAAGGAGCCGGTCGGTGGTGGCACACGCCTTTAATCGTAGCACTTGGGAGGCAGAGCCAGGCTGATCTCTGTGAGTTCTAGGCCAGCCTGGTCTACAGAGCAAAATCCAGGACAGGCACCAAAACTATACAGAGAAACCCTGTCTTGAAAAGCGGAAACAAACAAACAAAAAAAAAAAAAAAAAAAAGAAAAAAGAAAATGAAAATGCTGAAAGGGCTGATAGCTAGGCAGGAGGTATAGGAGGGATTTCCAGGGAGAGAAAGGCAGAGAAGGAGAAATCCAGGTGCACAGGAGACTCCACTGAGACATGGAAGGAGTCAGACACACAAAATGGGAGAGAGGTAAAAGCTACATGGTAGAACATAGATTAATAAAAATATCGGTTAATTTACGTTATAAGAGCCAGTGCAACAAGCCTAAGCTAAGGGCCAAGCTTTCATAATTAGTAATAAGTTTCTGTGTCATTATTTCTGAGTTGGCAGCCCAAAGGAAAGTCCAATTAATATGGCACCCAACGTGGTGACAATAGTATCACAGATAGGTTCGGTATATAGAGGCAACAGCTCTTTTAAGAGGCCCTGCTGTGCAGTGGAGCACTTGAGCAGCCAGCCTGCTAGGTAAGTATGCATGACACTTGGACTCAGCAAATTCCAAGAGCTGGGGCAGTAACCTGGCTCCTGCCAGTACCTGCCAGCATGAAGGCTAGGCTGTCACGGAATGAAGGAGGGCAGAGCCTGCCACCAGCACCACAAGCTGGCCGTGCCACGGAGGGCCTAACAAGTTAAGATTTGCCTCACGCTGGTCAGAGAAGACTGCAGAAGCACAGAAAGTCAGATCCAGACCAAGAAAACCTCTGAACAGATATAATATACTTAAAAATGTGCTTAGCTGCTAAAGAAAGAAAAAAAAAATGGGTATACACAGTCAAAGAAAAATAAATAAATAGTTTTAAAATAATAAAGTCTTTAAAGAGAGAGTAAAGTAATACAAAAGGAAAAAGCCACATAAAGATGGGAAATACACAGGGCATCTGGATCCTGTATGGTGCTTTGTTGACTTTGAATTTTTTAAATGCAAAAAAAAACCCAATAAGTGATGAGAGATATTGGATTATGGAAATTGCTAAATTAACTCAACATATATATATATATATATATATATATATATATATATATATATATATATATATTTTTTTTTTTTTTTTTGGTTTTTTCGAGACAGGGTTTCTCTGTGTAGCTTTGCGCCTTTCCTGGGACTCACTTGGTAGCCCAGGCTGGCCTCGAACTCACAGAGATCCGCCTGGCTCTGCCTCCCGAGTGCTGGGATTAAAGGCGTGCGCCACCACCGCCCGGCTCAACCTATATATTTTTAAGAATATCTTAATGGGCTGGAGAGACGGCTCAGAGGTTAAGAGCACTGGCTGATCTTACAGAGGTCCTGAGTTCAATTCCCAGCAACCATATGGTGGCTCACAACCATCTATAATCAGATCTGGTGCCCTCTTCTGGTGTGCAGGTATACATGGAGGCAGAACACTATATAATAACAAATAAACAAATCTTAAAAAAAAAGGCTATCTTAACTTTCAAAATGGAAGTCAAAAATATGTTGCGTTGGGGGAGAGGTTATGCTTTTGTTTCCATAGGAAACAAAAAGTTCTGGTTCTCTTCAAAATTAATAAAGATCAAATTTGATCAGGGGAGACCTCCTGAAAATCTTGGCTACAGACATTAAAAAAAGAAAGGACAAGTGACACATCCCTCTACTATAGGAACAGCTCTGAGACTGGATGAAACATGATAAATCTTGTTGGTCGCAGAGTCCTCATGACTTTTTATTATGTGCCATCCTTTCATATAGCATTGACAGAGGTTTGGTTATACAGTCCAAACAAACCTATAAAGTTAACAGATGACTTTTACCTGATCAAACATAGAACAAACTATCATCTTTAATTGACTTGTGCACAGTGCATACTCCATACTTGTGTTAATGCAAATATATGTTACCTTTAAAAGTTTGTGTTTTTAGAAAGAAAAAAAAAGGACCAAACACCAATGAAGACAAGTAGCTCAAGTGATCCAGCCTCTCAAAATGCCTCTGTTGTAATTTCCTCAAAATTATCCATCCAGAACAACTTCAAAGCTACTAGCCGAGATGGTCAGCCTCACGGACTATCCAGACAAGTCCTCAGATAAGCTCTACACTTTCCCATCACACAGAGACTAAACAAAAAATAATACAGCTAGCTCTCTCAGGACTTGACCATTATCCCCATTTTCTCAAGGTCCCGTAAAGATGTCGTTGTCCTCAGACAACAGGAAGCAGTCTAGAGAACATGATACCAACATTCCCAAGAGATGGAGTGGGTGGTGTTTGGTCATTTGGTGGGTTATGGATGTTTGTCATCATTTAGTGTGGTTGGTTACAAGTTGTTATTGGTCATGTCAGGAAAAAAGCTGAACAAAGAAGATTAGATTCAGATTCAGGGATCTATTTCTTTTTTTTTTTTTTTTTTTTTTTTTTTTTTTTGGTTTTTTCGAGACAGGGTTTCTCTGGTTAGCTTTGCGCCTTTCCTGGAACTCACTTGGTAGCCCAGGCTGGCCTCGAACTCACAGAGATCCGCCTGACACTGCCTCCCAAGTGCTGGGATTAAAGGCGTGCTCCACCACCGCCCGGCCTATTTCTAAAGGGAAAAGGGGGTATATAGTATATAAATGATGGGATAAAAGAGTGGATTGTTGAGTCTACTTTTGAACTAAAAAAATAACTACTAGTCTCAAATATTTTACATTGATATGGATTTTTATATATTGATACACATTTAGTGTTATTTTTCTTATACTATATTATGTTTCTATTTCTTGTTTACTATATTGAACTTATGCAGATCATTTAAAAATTTAATATAAAGTTTTAGTCCTTGAGAGCTATTTAGGATAATAAAAAAAGACAGGTCAATAGTCAGTCATCTATAACAATCAAGCTTATAGTCATGTTAGGATGTTTTCAAGGTCAAACAGAAATATATTTTAAATAGTCTTCAAATACTTCAAAGACCTACAGAATATGGAATTTGAAATGTTTTAATAACATAAGGCTTTTCATGAGACATGAGTGCTCCTGGCAGTACCAATCTACTTCAAAAAAGGATAATGGGCATCAAAGAACCTTCATATGGAGTTTGCTTTCAATGTGGCAAAGGTAACCATTCGAGCAAGAAACTGTCCTTTCCTCAACAGCTGACAAAAGATGGATACAAAAGAAAGCGACTGCCAAACTTTGCTAACATGAGGTAAGACAGTCCTTCAAAATTCCTGCTTCACAGAAAAGTCTGTTCAATATTCTAGGCCTATAGGTCAAAGATGGATGCCTCACCATTGCAGAGGAATCTTAGGTGACTGTCCCGGCAGCCAGCTGTTTCTGTCATTTCTATAGCTTTGGAAGTTGTCTGCTCTGCACTTTCTGTTTACTCAGGTAATAGAATATCCTTCGCAGGTCTCTGATGGAGTTGAAGGTGAGATAGTTATAGTTACAGTTTTCCTTGTTTCCAAATTCTGAAAAGAAACTTACACAAGAGATGTAAAGTTTATAACATTGAGAAACATAAAAGCTTGAGTTGTTTATCTAAAAAGACGTTATAAGGTCTAAAAAGATATTTTTAGGATGGTATTACAAATTATGATAAAAACTGGTTTGGGTATAAAACTTTGGACTAAGACAGGATAGATAATGCAGTATGTTCTCCAAATTTGCCAAATACAAATGGACTGGACATTGTGATTGTAATTCTTACCTGATAATTGTTCTTATTGTATACAGTTTTACTATGTTAGAGTTAAAACCTTTCCTTTTTATTTAGACAAAAAGGGGGAAATGTTGTGTGATATTTGTATACTGTGTGAAGATGTATTTGCTGTGATGTATTTGGTGTAGTAAAAAAGCTGAATGGCCAACAGCTAGGCAGAAGTATAAGCGGGATTTCTGGGGAGAGAAAGGAAGAAGAGGAGAAATCTAAGCATGCAGGAGATGTCATCAAGATGCAGTACGAGTCAGACACACAAAATGGGAGAGAGGTAAAAGCCACATGGTATAACATAGATTAATAAAAATATGGGTTAAGTTATAAGAGCCAGTGGGAAAAGCCTAAGCTAAGGCTGAGCTTTGATAACTAATAAGTCTCTGTGCTGTTATGTGTGAGCTGGCGGCCCAAAGGAAAGTCTGACTACAAGAGATGGCTCAGTTGTTAAGTGTGCTTGCTTTTCTTTCAGAGAATCCATGTTTGGTTCTTAGCACTCATATTTAGTGGCAGGAGGATCCAATGCTCTCTTCTGGATTACACACAGATACACAGACATACACACTTAAAATACAAACAAACTGAGTATGTTGGCACACACCAGTATTATTAATACTTGGAAGGTTTAGGAGGATCGGAAGTTCAAGGCCATCCTTGGCTACACAGAAAGTTGGAGGCCAGAATGAAATACATAGGACCCTGTCTAAAAATAATAAGATAAAAAAATCATTATTCTAGGACCTAGAGAGATGGCTCAGCAGTTAGTGCTTATTGCTCTTGTAGATGACCTGGGGTCCAGTTCCCAGCACCCACATCTGTAATTTTAGGGAACTGATGCCTTCTTGTCTCCAAGGGCACCTGTATACATGCAATGCACATAAACTCAGGCAGGCACACAGGCATACACACGACCAGTAAGATGGTCTGTAGCTAAAGGTGCTCGAAGAGTGAGCCTGGCTACTTGAATTTAATCCCTGGAGCACACATAAAAGGTGGAAGGAGAGGAGTGATTCCACAAAGTTTTTTCTGACCTGCAGGCAAGTAGCACAAATATCTGCACACACAGAAAATATTTTAAAAGAATCATTATTCTAGGTAATAACTTTCTGTAAGAAAATTTTTTTCTCTTGAAAAATGAGTTTCTTTGATAATAAAAATGATACAGACTTTTACGATTTTCCCTTGGAAATGCATAACAAAATCCAATGTTTATCTGTGAACATTTTCCATGTTCCTGGCATAATTATCTGCCCTTCAAAAAAAAAATCTTCCTTTAGTCACACATTTTCTCATTTTATATGATTCAGAATATATGTTGCTTTATATTAGTTTTTTTTTTTTTTTTTGGTTTTTCGAGACAGGGCTTCTCTGTGGAGCTTTGCGCCTTTCCTGGAACTCACTTGGTAGCCCAGGCTGGCCTCGAACTCACAGAGATCCGCCTGGCTCTGCCTCCCGAGTGCTGGGATTAAAGGCGTGCGCCACCACCGCCCGGCTATAGGATGATATATTAGTTTTAGGAAGTAGATATTATATAACTTTTAAACATACCCTTAAAATTTTAGCTTAAAGTAATAAATTATAGGCTAAATATAGCTGGATTCAATCTGAACATCTTTTTTGATAACAAGAAAGATTTATTTGAAACAGAGCCTCACTATGTAACCCTATCTGGCCTGAACTCAGAGCTCTTCCTGCTTCTGCACCCTGTCTGCGGGGATTAAAGGAATGAGTGCGCCAGCTGCCAGGACAAGAACGATTATTTTAAAGTACACACACTGTGGCAGGGAATTACACTATCCACTTTACTGGGAATTATTCATGCTGTAGATACTATCACCTCACTTTACCGAAGTTCAAAGTAATGAAGAAACTTTAGAAGGTTATAAAGTATTTATGGGTAGGACTCAGGTTTGGCTCAACTCCAAATTCCGGGTCCTAGCATACAGTACACTGTTTCCGAAGCAGCACGTTCTATTTTACATTGTCGATGCCTTTTACCTGCTCTGGGATTCTTTCTGGGAGAATGTCACATCTTACTCCTCAATGGAGTGGAACTCTGTTTCCTAGCAAACTTACTGCCGTTCCTCCATCTCCCGGTCCTCTAAGCGGAGTCCTAGCTCACCTCACCTAGATCACCTCAGAGACTGAGCTGAGCCCAGAGTCTTGGCATCTTGGTCCTGCAGTAGAGCCTAGTTTCTCAGATTCTGTCACCCAGCAGGGCTCGCCCAGGGGGTGGGGGTGGGTTGGTGGGTGAGGATTCCTTATTAGTGATCTCCCCGCCTCCCTGGCACAGCCCTGGGACTCTGCTGAGATTCTTGTGCTTCATTGTTGTGGAAGAGTTTTTACTAGGCAAGAAGCGCTTTAAACAGGAAAGTAAAACAACTCAAAATAGCTTCAGGAAGTCCCTGAAGCTGACCAGATTCATTAGGTCCCTCCCTGCCAGAGTAAGCAATAAAAGCTGAGAGACCCCTCAGAAAAAAGGAAGCGGAACAGCAAAATGAATCTGAGCTGCAAAGACTCTGAGATCAGACCAGCTAGCTGCCTGGAAGAAGTGGAAACCAGCCAAGCTGCCAGGAAGAGGTTCAGACCAGAGTCTCTTGGAAATGACACTCTCCTGCCTGTTGAGCTGCCTGCAGACAGTGTGTTCCAGGTTCCCAGCTTTGTGAGCTGTCACCCATGCTGGGTGGGTCTTGGTGATGCTGGGGTCTTTGAGTAATTTCCGCTCCTGTAAGCCCACCCTCTCCCACACTCATGAACAAATAAAACTCACTGGTTCACCAAGTTGGATTCTGGTGCTATCTGTACTTTGGTCTGTCTGTGGGAGCCCTATCTGGGGCGAGGAGACCTGTGTAGCGTCTCCCCAGGAAAAGTATTGTCATACAACACTCAGCAGAGGGCAATAGCCCTCAGCAAACTTTCTGAGAGACTTTTCTCCATGGTCCCGGGCCAAGCCACAGCGCACCTTTTTCCACATTTCCTAACCTCTCCGCACAGTCGCATTCCCACCCGCCATTCTCTTTGTCTGCGTCTTAGTGTCTCCGTTCAACTTCTCCCTCCTTCTCCTGGTCGTCTCCGTTCCCGGGTCCCGCGGAAAACTCACGCAGCGCTTCTGTTCCCGGCTGCTCGTCCGATCAGCTCCGCGCTTTACTTCTCCCTGCAGCTCAGCGACCAGGCCTGGAACCAGCCTCGGGCCAGCAGGCACCCGAAAGCCCCGCCCCTCCCTCCCCATTGGCTACCGTTCTCAGAAAGTCCCGCCCCCAGACTCGCAGCCCGCCTCTCCGCCCGGCTTCCCTTGTTTTCATTCCCCCTGTCACACGAGGCAGTGGCAACCCCGAAGTGGGAGGGGAGAAGTCGGAGGGGAGAAGTCGAAGAGGGAAGGGGACGGGAAGAGGGCGGAAAGTGAAGGGCCCAGAGCGCCTCTCTGTCCCCGATCTAACTCAGTTCTCGACTGCTCCGGGCCGGCGTGGTATTGTGGGATCGCGGCGCCTGGCCTGCCTGAGACGCTCGCATCCGCAGGGGCGTCCACTCGAGAGCGCCTCCTGTCGTCCGTAAGGCTGCCCTGCCATTCCTCGGCCCCCCAACTCCTCCCGCCCCCCCATCCCCTCCTCCTCCATCCTCCAGTTCAAAATGGCGACGGCGGCGGCGGCGGCGGCAGCGGCGATGGCTCCTCCGGGCTGCCCGGGTTCGTGCCCCAACTTCGCCGTAGTCTGCTCCTTCTTGGAACGCTACGGGCCGCTGCTGGACCTGCCCGAGTTGCCGTTCCCAGAGCTGGAGCGGGTGCTGCAGGCACCGCCGCCGGACATCGGCCACGGAGAAGGTAAGCGATCGGCCCGAACGCCCGGCGGGAAGCGGCCCTGGCGCGCTCTACCTCTCCATAGATATCCTGGGGCTCTGCAGCCGCCCCCCCCCTCCAGGGACTGGGCTCCGTGGAGTCTCTACTCAGCTTAGCCTGGGGGGGTTCCTGGGTGCTGGGGAGGCGGGGCGGAGGCCCCCTAGGGCCACCGTGCCCCGCGGGGACGGAGGTGGGGGCGTCGCAGGCCGGGTGTGGGCCGGGGCCCGGGAGGGGGCATTGTGCCGGGCAGGCGCCCTGGAGCCGGGTCCCCCGCGCCGGTGTTGGCCCCCAGTTCTTATCCCTTTAGGTGGCGGGGGAAGGGGAGAGCAGGTTCCGGCCAGCCTTGCGCTTTTCTCCTCCCCTCCTCCCACCAATCCTCCCCACCGTCTCCGGGGAGGCTGGGCCCATCTTCTCCCGGCGCCCCCTCTGCTCACTCCACCTGAGTGGGCGGGGGCCGGCGGACACTCCACTCTCTTTCTCTCTGCGGTGGGAACTCCCCCGAGAGAGTCGGCTCCTGCCCTCTTCCCGTTCCCTCGAGGGCTGGTCTAACCCCCCCCCCCAACTCCTTCCTCCCCTGAGGGAGATCTGCTCCTCCGCCCAGGGAGGGGGCTTCCCCCCTTCCCCATTCTCGCATAGGGAGGGGAAATGAAGTCGGTTCAGCTTCTCTACTCTGGGGAGGAGAGGGTTAATTTCTCCTCCTCCATAGTTTTCCTCCCCGCCACCTCCCCCAAAATAATAGAAAAGCATCTCCCCACTTTTCTCTCTCCCTTCCCCCTATCTCGGCAACAGGGCTTAGGGGAAGAAGTCACTCTTCCATTTGCAGGGTGGGGTGGGGTGGGGTGGTTGGTCTGTAGGCTGGAGGAGGGGCTCAGACGGCAGGGGAAACAGTTGAAGAAGGTGCTTGTTGCTCATGTTTCTCTCTCTGGTGCCGCTGGTCTATTATTGGTGTTCGCAAGTGGTGCTCCTTCCACATAAGGCCACCGCGCGGGTGCAGGGCGCATGCTCTGCCCGGCCCCATTGAAACTTCCTGCTGCTGGTTCTTTTGCTGGAGCATCTCAGCGCTGTGCCTGCGGCTTGCAACCCTCACACACTGAGCGCTAACACTCTTCCCCTGTTAATCCTGATCCGTGCCGCTCCTTTTCTGGCACTTTATTTCCCTTAGAGAAAGCTTATTTGTGTACTCCGAACATTGCCTTTGTCTGGGTACAGCCCTTGGCAGAAGAAGAAACGTTTTCCAAATAGGTCTTTTTTCCCCCCCTTCTTTTTCTTTTGGTCTGCGCGTAGATGACCAGGGTGGACTGAGTATTGTACAAGACATGATAGTTGTGACCTTTCTAAGAAAGCGGAGTCGATTTTCTGTTATCTGTGGAAAGGCAGTTCCCGATACGATGTATTTACATAGCTAGGAAAAGACCCAAGTGTGAAGTTCTTCAAAGTAACCTGTAGTGAAAATGTGTGATATACAATGTTATCAAAGATGAGCCCAAAGGCAGTTACAGCATTCTTACGCTCTCTCACCTTCTCTATTGAGACACCACCTCACTGTTGCTATGTCTGCTAGCCTGTAACTCTGTAGACCATGCTAGCCTGGAACTCTTTAAAATCCTCCTGCTTCTGCCTCCCATGTGCTAGGATTAAGGCATTCGACACCATGCCCGATTCTACGTCTTTTTTTACCGGTTCGCAATTTTTAGACTCTCTCTGGCTCATAAAAGGCTAATTTTTTTAAACTATGAAATTGGAGGGTGGTTAAATTACTTTATATTAAGACTTTCTGTAGAATTTCTTTAAACATTAAACTTCCAGTGTATTAATTTCGTTATTAAGTTTACGTTTTTTTTTTAAAGGAAATAGTTACTGTGAAGTAGGATACCTTAATTTTAGGATACTTTAGAAATAATAGTAATTTATTTGACAGAGAGAAATGTGAGGATTTTAGGGGAAATTGGTGGTAAGTTGTTTTTAGAATTTATTTGGACTGATTTAAGAGGCAGGCATTGTGTTTTGGTTTTTTTTGGGGGGGGTGCCATTGCAGTTTGAATACCAAATAAGCTTGCATTCCTTTAAATTTTGATCAGTGTGCTTACTTTGTATTAGTACTGGAAGAAGAAAATTATTAGGGACCGTTTGTTATATCTAGCGTTGAGCTTTGGGGCGTCAACTAAATAAAAATGGGAAAGAACTTGGACTAAGTCATTTAACTCAGCCACAGCATTACCATTGATATAGTTGCTAAGAGGACTGATAATAATAGATTCTGTCATGGGAATCTAAGAATAATTGTTAATTAATGTCACACAGTTCAAGACGTGTGGCAAATGAAAAGTCTCTTTGAAGGTGGAAGTTTTAACTGTGCAGGAAAAAGATGTTCAGAACTTTGATGATATCTCAGACAACTTATAATAGTTTTTAGCTAATAAGATTGACTCAGTCTTTTGGGGAAAAAGTTTGGTATGGTAGAAAGAGTTGAAAGACTAGGGTTTTGTGTTGAGCAATGTAATGTATAGGTTGTAGAGCAATTGTTTCATTAATATGGACCTCAGTTTCTTCAGTAGACAAAGGCAATGGCTAAAAACCAAATGAAATGTTTCAAAAAAACCCTTTCATAAACCAGGTACTTACAAATATTCCTGTACTACAAATTACATTGAAGTTTTTTTCAGATAAAAGATACATAGTACATTTGTAATTAGCCTTAAATTTTTGGTAAGTTGGGAGTGCATGGGGTGGCTGTGTTGGAATCAGGCCAGTTTTGCTTTGTATATTAATTTTTATTTATTTATTTTTTACTTTTTCAAGACAAGATTTCTCTATGAATTTTTGGAGCCTGTCCTGGAACTCGCTCTGCAGACCAGGCTGGCCTCGAACTCACAGAGATCTGCCTGGCTCTGCCTCCCAAGTGGGGAGGTTAAAGGTGTGTGCCACTAACGCCTGGCTACGCTTTTTTTTTTTTTTTTTAAAGCATTTCTAGTGCCATTTAAAAGTTCTAATTGGGCTGGCAGGGTAGCTCGGGGGGTAGGGTGCTTGCTGCCAAGCCTGCTGATGTGGGTTTGATTCCCTGAACCTGAATAGTGGAAGAAAGGACCACCTGCAAGCAGTGCTCTAAGCTCTACATTCGGCTTTTGGCGTGTGTGTACAAAGTGCACACATGTGTACACAATAAATAAATAAAAATTCCAATTTATGCAAGATTTGCTTTTCCTGGTGTGAGTGGCCCTTAGACTATGTTTTTATGTGTCTTTTTCAGTTCTCTGTTCTACCAGCTGGGGTATGGAAGGGGGCTAGTTCAATACTTGAGTACAGCATTTATTGAGGTACATTTAACAACACGATAATGTTCTTTGGTAGAAACTAGTTTACTGATTTGTTCCTGTTTAAATACTTTGATCTTTTTCCTAAAAAGTTGTTTGTAAGCTTTCATTTGATAGTGTGGCTTCAGTTTAGGATGCCCTGTTCCTTAGTCAAGAAGGCTCTCATGAGACAGAAAATAGAACCAGTGTCCATTCTAATTCCAAAACTTGGAAGTTCTTCTGTGCCCCATGGTAGTAGTATTCCACAGGTAATTCTGGTTGTTTAAAGATAAAATAAAACCATGAAAAATGTCAATTTAGTTAATTAATTTTTCTTTTTAAAAAGGAATGATTAAGCCAGGCAGCAGTGGCGCACACCTTTGATCCCAGCACCCAGGAGGCTAGCCTGGTCTACAGAGCGAGATCCAGGACAGGCACCAAAACTACACAGAGAAACCCTGTCTCAAAAACCAAAAAAAGGGTTGGAGAGGTGGCTCAGTGGTTAAGAGCACCGACTGTTCCTCCAGAGGTCCTGAGTTCAATTCCCAGCAACCACATGGTGGCTCAACCACTTGAAATGAGATCTGGTGCCCTCTTCTGGACTGTAGGGACACTTGCAGGCAGAATACTGTATACATAATAAATAAATAAATCTTAAAAAAAAAAACAAAAAAAAAGGAATGATTGATTGTATGCGTCTGAGCGTTTTGCCTGCCTATTCTCACATGTATGCAAGTGTTCCTGGTGCACTTGGAAGTCAGAAGAAGGCATCAGGTCCCTTGGAATTAGAATGACAGATGGTTGGGAGCCACCATGTGGGTGCTGGAAATCAAACCTGGATCCTTTGCAAGAGTGAGGAATGCTCTTAACCACTTGAGCCTTCTCTCTAGCCCCTAGTGGTTCCCAAGTACCGAATAAGTGGAACTGATGTTTTTTGTTTGTTTGTTTCTTTGTTTTGTTTTGTTCTGTTTTGGTATAGGGCTACTCTAAGGAAATTGCTGAGACACTGAGGGTACCATGAATCTAAAAAGCTTGGGAATCTGCTCAGAGACTATCATTACCTTTTGGGTCTAGAAAGAAAGGATGACTG